CTTGACACTTACGATTCTGGGCCTGAAAGGTGGTTCTACTTGGCGATGGTTCAGCTGGGCCCAGTCAATTTCCTTAAAGAAAGGATGTCTCAAGATCGCGTGCTCACCTCCCTGAGTCAGGCTTCCCAAGCGCATGGTGGGATTCTTGGTCATGAACTGGGAAAGACAGAGAGAGAGAGAGAGAGAGAGAGAGAGAGAGAGAGAGAGAGAGAGAGAGATTGATTCATACACAAATGTGTCATAAGACAGCGGTCATCAGTCCTGGCAGACAAACCAGTGGTGGTTTTTCTGGCAGATCTTGCTTCGCTAGCCGGATTTTCCATCCCAGGCAGCACAGGCAGTATGAATCACGCCTTAAAGATGCAACTGCCCAAGTGGATTTTTGGCCTTCCCCACTTCCATTTCAGACGTGGCCACTAAAAGAAGGCTTCAGGATCCAGTTTTCTTTTCTGTAAACACCATGTATTTTTCTTTCCTGTCTAAAGAAAAGAAGGTCTTTATGAACTATGGTGCCTTTCCCGAACACTGCAGTTGTGGACAGCAGGCCTGTGATGAATGGGGCTACTTTTAGGAACAGCTGTGCCATTTTTCTGAGACCTGTCCATCTGGCCAGGGATCTCCCTCTCTCCTAAGACCACAGAGAAGAGTGAGAATCATTGTTTGTGACGATCTGTGTGAAGAAGCAGCAAGGGTGAAAACCTAAAAAAACTTCTGTCTGGCTGCTTTTCTTTACACAGCAAAGAAATTACAGTTCTAGATGAATATTCTCTTTCTTCACTATGTCCCTCTTCCATTTTAAATAGGTTTATGGACTGGGAATATGTTGCTGCGTAGACCAAAACTGAAAGAAAATGCCACATATTCAAGTGATGTTTGTGTATGAATCTTCTGGAGACACTCTTGATGCTCAGTTCCCAAGACATTTTGGACTAATTCTGTTTTTCATAAGCAGTCTTGATTCTGATCAAATGATCAGAAGAATGCAGAGGATAATTCACTTTTCAGGGTCGCCAGACTATACCTTTCAATTTTAATTAATTTTCCCATTAAAAAAACTGAACGTGAATACAAAGCTCTGTTTGGGTTGAGCACCTTGGTGGCACATGCCTATAATCCCGCCTGGAGGCTGACGCAGGAGGATGGCGAGTTTTAGGCTAGCCTAGGTTATAAACCAAGACACTGTCTCAAACCAAGACACTCTCTAAACCAAGACACTGTGTCTAAACCAAGACACTGTCTCAAAAACAAAGCAAAACCACACACACACACACACACACACACACACACACACACACACACGTACACACATACCACACAAAACACAAAACAAAAAAGAAAAACAAACAAAAAACAAAACAAAAAAGAAAAACCACCTTCAAGGGTTGTAGATGTAGTGTAGTGCTTACCTAGCATGGGTAAGATGCAGAATTCTAGTCCCAGCACCAGAGAAACAAACAAAGTTTGTGGTTTTATTTTAATCAAGTTACTTTAGCTTTCTTTGTGCTTTTGTTGTTGTTGCTGTTATTTGTATTTAAATTTCCAGTGCTGAGGATTGAACCCAGGATCCTGTAAGTATGTGGCAAGTATTATACCACTGAGCTACATCCTTGGACTCTAAATCAAGTTATGTCTGACAACTTTTGACAGTCTCTACATATCCTTGCCCAAGTTTCATTTGTGAACACAAGACAAAAGTAACGCTGTGTTAATATAAATTGTTTGAAGCGCTGAATGTACAGAGTAAATCTACATATTTTTCAGTGAAAATCTTGTTGCCGATGCAGGTCTAGAAAGGTCGTCAACGCAGGTGGTCAACGCTGTAAAGCCCCCAGTGCTGGTTCAAATAAGACTGATCATGAGGGAGAAGACTGCAATTATTTCCTCGGCAAACAGCAACCCCGCGGGATCCAGTTTAGAAAATGCTAAAAAATTGAAGGCCCTGGGCTGAAGAGATTGCACAGCCATTAAAGACTAGGCTAACCACTAACATGTCCCAAACTGAAGATCCTGGTGGGCTTTAATGGCTCCTCATTTCTCTGGGTGAGAAGGGATTAGATGATTTGACAGGTTGGATTGGAGGTAGGACCCCAAATAAAATGATCATTCAAACCTACACAGGTCCAATCACAGCAGTTTCTACTGTAGGCATCTAATGTGGTCATTGTGGACTTAGGAAATACATACCTTATAAATTACTCTGTTACATAGGAGCTAGGGGTACATACTGCCTGTGATTTCCCCACATAAATTTCTCTCTCCAGAGGAAGGGAACAAAAGAAATGAGTAGATTCTTTCCATGGCAAAGTTAGTAGAATACAACCCTGGATGGACAAGCAGCAGCAATTTAAAAGACTCATTAGCAAATAACAATGGTATAAACAAACAAAAACAGGGACCAGAGAGCAGACCCAGATGACTTGTGGGAAATTCCAAGGCTCGCCAGGGATGGGAGCAGAGGCTATCTTGTAAATGTGTGGGTACAGCTTGTTCTGGGAGAGGGGAATGGTGTAGGGTTCTAGATGCCAGGGTGGCAGAAGCACTGGTGTCTGACTTTGCTCATTCTTCTCTGCCCCTGGCACTGAATCCAAGCTTCCACGAAGCACTGGTAGAAGGAGCATTGTCTGAGGACAAGCGGACCAAATCACAAAACTCTTCTTAAAAGCACATCTCTAGGACTGGGGCTAGGAAGAGTAACACCGTTGCTGTTGATACTTTCTTCTCTTAGAGTTCTAACCAATCCTTTTGTATGACAGTATTTTTTCAAAGAGTTTTTTTTTTTTTTTAGTTATGTGGGGTGGTGTGTGTGTGTGTGTGTGTGTGTGTGTGTGTGTGTATGGGGGGAGTACATGCACATGAGTGCAGGTGCCTATGGAGGCCAGAGGAGTCAAATACCTGGTGAACGCAAGACGCTGCACTAAGCTTGGGGGAGGGGGTTGCACATAGCAAAGATAATCTCTCTCCATCAAGGTGTGAATAGAGAAGGGAAGCAAACTTTATAACATAACAGGATACACTGAAGAGGTGTGGACAAGCAGCTGTGGGAGCTTGAAGAGGTCTGAGCAAGCAGCACTGGGGCTCCTGGTAGGAAGGTGACTGAGAGCATGATGGAAATGGTGACATTTGACAAGATGAAGAGCATGGTAAAATCCATGCAGAAAAGAAGGAGTAAGACAGCCATGCCCTCGGCGCACATGCTCAGATGCATATAAGCACCCAGGGTACTGGCAGAAGACCACAAAGCCTAGGACAGTAGCATGTAGGGATGCTTGGGGGAGTGTGTGGGTAGAGAGCTGAACCCACTGAAAGTCTGTGAAGAGGTGAGGGGACTGCCCACAGTGTGATGTGTAAGGCCAACATGAGAAGGACTCCCCCGTGGTGGAGTGAATGAGGCAGAGACAACAGTTGAAATGACAGGTAAGTTCAGAAACTCAGAGAGCTTGTAGTTAATGGGAAGGGAGCACTGGGAACAATCTAGAAGGTTAGGAATTTGCCTATGGCTGGGTGAAAGGGAGGAGTCCAAGATCACAGCATCTTCCCAGGCTGTCTGATGGAGCAGAAGCTGGGGTTCCAGTATTAGCACTAAATACAGCAAACGCAGAAGCAGCATTTTAGGGGAGTAAAGACAAACACAACACTTCTTAAGATTCTTAAAGTGGTCAGAGTCAAGATGAAGTCACTTGTGTCAAGGGTTAATAAAGTAAACAGAGCTGGAGGCTGTGAAGGAGGTGGGCCTCTGCAGGGCTATCTGATAATAAGAACTATCCAGAAGACTGCCAAATCCATATCTCCTTACACAGATGCTACAACAACCTGACACAGAAAATATCCTGCAAGGCTATCTGCCCAAGTGTCTCCAACTTTGGACTGATGTCATCCTTGTTACTGAACATGAAGCCAAGGATTATTGTTTTAATATAATTTATATAATCCTCCTCATTCGGCCTTCAAAAACCTACCCCCTGGTTCACATGTTGGCACACATACTGTCATTGCCATGACTAAGCATATTCATCATTGGAGAGGCCCTCTCTGATGGTTGTTTAATTTAACTAAAGCTCTGTCTTGCCAACTGAGTGACTGAAGTGTTTGATCTGCTCCGTTTCACAGACACAACTAGCCAGGTATACGTGGAGTGCAGGGTGCGGTTAGAGAGGGCTGCTCTTGGGAAGGCAGGCAAGATTGTTTGGGGGGGGAGAGAGAGAGAAAGAGAGAGAGAGAGAGAGAGAGGGTAGAGGAGAGAAAAAGAGAAAGAGAGAGGAGTAAACAAGCAAAACAGTGACCTACTTTATTCAGTACACGTAGTGTGTTTTAAAATAATTCAAATTATTTGTCATTTAAAGAGTAAGAGTGTCACATCACATGAAAGCCAGGCTTTTCAGTTTCTCTTGGGATATTGCTTATTTTCCAACATCGAGCTTATAGTCTTTTCTTCACAGAAATGGCCTGGAGTTGAACAGTGGAGGGCATGAGATCCCCAGGTGGCCACATACCCTGATGCCTCCTATTGCCTCATAGCAGACTGGTGTCATTTGCTGACTTTCATGTCTTCTGATCTCTGGCACAGAGGAAGAAGAAAGTTCTACTTGAGCATGCTGGCTCATGCCTGTAATTCCAAGCACTCAGGAGGCTGAGGCAATAGTATTGTAACAAGTTTGAGGCCAGTCTGGGCTATAGAGTAAGACTCTGTCCAAAAAAAGGAAATCCAAGTGACAGCAACTGGAGATGACAAAGCCAGGAGTCAGGGGAGGCTGAACACTGAGACAGGAACCAGTGCAAAGAGGGGGCGAGGTAACCGGGTGGGTGCTAAGGGAGAAGTGGATGTGGCCCCTCCATAGATGCTGAGCTAGGCAGTTAAGGAAACATTTCCCATCAGTCCCAGGCCCAACATGGGTCACAGCATGCACTAATGCAGGAGTCATCCTGGGTTAAACACAGAGCTCTCTCCAAACACCCTGGTCCTGCTGCTGTGAATGGCGACAGCATCATGCTCTTATAGAAAACCTCCTCAGTTTACTCATGTTTCTAATGGTACTCAAATGCCAAATAAGTTAACAATAATCTGTGTCTAAGGTGGGTCTTAAAATCTGCCTCACCTCCAGTGACTTCCTTCCCGACAGTGGCCCAAACAGAAAAGCTGGCCAAAAAAGCAAATCATG